TGAAAATATTCCTGGCTCTGAGGGTTGCACAGTATCCTCTAGCTTACTGTGGAATAGTTGTTAAGGTGGAAATCACAACTGTACAGATTACATGAAGTTTTTTGCATCTTGCTACTATCTACTTGTTTATATGACCAGAAAAGATGAATGTTTATACTCAAATGTCATATGATATGATTAAGAATGATTCAAAATGTCCTCATGAAGTCAGATTGAATGATACTAATCCTAATTCCTTTGCATTTGCAGTGGCAAACCCTGTCCTCCCTTCAAGATCATCATCCTAGATGAGGCTGACTCAATGACTAATGCAGCTCAAGCAGCCCTCAGGCGGACGATGGAAAAGCAGTCTAAGACAACAAGATTCTGTCTCATCTGTAATTATGTATCGCGTATTATTGAGCCACTGACATCCAGGTGCTCCAAGTTTCGATTTAAACCACTAGGTGAGTGTGTAAAATTCTGTGGAATGTGGATGATATGGATGTGGCTTTGTGTGAAAGGAATCCTAATTTCGGTGGTTTTGATAGGACAGAAATAGTGCTTTTGTAATGTGTGTGGTTAGTGTTGTAGATTATTTTAAAAATTGTGATCCAATTCTTTTGTTTGCTTGAGTCCTTGTGTGTTCAGTAGCTTAGTAGGCTAAGTTGCCCAATTACTGATTTAGTGTTCAAGAGTTGAACTTCACTGGTACTGAGGGTGGTTAGGACCCTAACTATTCCTAGAATACAAGGGGAGGTAGACCCCATTTATGTTGTTATTGAGTCCCCAATGATCAACATTACTAACAGCCAGTCAGGCAAGAGCAGCACTGCCAAAACAAAGGACACATACTTACTCCTCAAGTATAAAGTGAGATCGTCTGAGAGAAGGTGCCCATAACCTTATTCATGAGTATGTAGAAGAAAATTGATATAGAAATGGATTGAGTGTCTTTGTGTTAACTTGCCTATTTTAGGGAAAGAGGACATAGGTAAGAGATGTAGTAATCCTTGGTCCTTTTCTCCCCCCCCCCCCCCATCTCTCTCTCTCTCTCTCTCTCTCTCTCTCTCTCTCTCTCTCTCTCTCTCTCTCTCTCTCTCTCTCTCTCTCTCTCTCTCTCTCTCTCTCTCTTCCCTCTCCCTCTCCCTCTTCCTCTTCTCCCTCCCTCCCTCCCTCCCTTCCTCTCTCTCTCTCTCTCTCTCTCTCTCTCTCTCTCTCTCTCTCTCTCTCTCTCTCTCTCTCTCTCTCTCTCTCTCTCTCTCTCTCTCTCTCTCTCTCTCTCCCTCTTCCTCTTCTCTCTCCCTCCCTCCCTCCCTCCCTTCCTCTTTCTCTCCTCGCTTTCCCCCCTCTTTCTTTCTCTCTTTCTCACCCCCCTCTCTCTCTCTTTGTAAGCAATCTTTTTATTTCACTTTATTTAATGGTTTCTCCCTTTTTTTCTCTCAGCACAAGGCATCCTACTGAAAAGGCTTACCTTTATCTGTGAAGAGGAAAATGTTAAGTACGAAGATTCTGTCCTGGAGACCTTGATTGGGACAAGTGAAGGTGATTTACGACGAGCCATTACCACTCTGCAATCAGCTGCAAGATTGAGGTCAGGCGAACAGATATCTAAAGAAGATATCTATGAAATAACAGGTAATTTGTCTTCAATTTTTGTTTTTTATTCTTCCCAAGGAAACAGATATTTCCTTGTGATACATTATAACTTAAAAGATAAAGTTTAATGTTGCCCAGTAATTTTTTTCTCCCTTTCTCTCTTTCTTTATCTCTTTATCTGTTCTGCTTGAGTGATAGAAATATATCTTGGTATTATATTATATATTAATTTTGATTTTATTTTGTGCAATATACTTGTCTTCTGAAGTGCTATGTGTGTTATTATTATTATTTTTTTTTCCAGGAGTTGTCCCAGACAAGTGGCTTATAGAGTTGATGGAAGTATGCACTACAAACTCTTATGAGAAACTGAGTGACTTCGTAAACCTCATGATGGCAGAGGGATATTCTGCTACACAAGTAAGACAGAAAAATATTGCAGATGTCTGGATATCTTGAGCACTAGCTGATATTTCTTCCAGTCCTTTCATTCACTCTTTTCTCGTTGATTCTTGTCTTTTTGTAATTGATTGATTGTTTTTCTTTTTTCTTTTTCTTTTTCTTTTCTTTACTTTTCTTTTCTTTTCTTTTCTTTTCTTTTCTTTTCTTTTCTTTTCTTTTTTTTTTTTCTTTTCTTTTCTTTTTCTTTTTCTTTTTCTTTTTCTTTTCTTTTTCTTTTTCTTTTTCTTTTTCTTTTTCCTTTTCCTTTTCCTTTTCCTTTTCCTTTTCCTTTTCCTTTTCCTTTTCCTTTTCCTTTTCCTTTTCCTTTTCCTTTTCCTTTTCCTTTTCCTTTTCCTTTTCCTTTTTTGTGTGTTTATTTCCCGGTTTCTTGTTCTGTTCTTTCCAGGTTTGATGGTACTTGAACTAAACTCAATTTTTATTATTATTGTGATTATTATGATGAAGATAAAAGAAGCTGAGTGTAGTTAGCATTTTCCTTGAAAATTTTTGATGAAGTACATTCATAGTTTATTGGTAATCACTGTTATTGGTGAATATTTACCATGATTTATATTGCAGATACTCAATCAAATACATGATGTCATAATGACCAACGACCAGCTCAATGACATTCAGAAGGCTGCAGTATATGAGAGGCTAGCAGTAAGTTTAACAGCTGTTTGTTTGATTATGGTATTAGATGTGTAATTAATCCAATGGTGTCATGGCATCTATTCTTGTCATGAAGCACTGAGCCCATATGCCACATGCCTGCTTGTTTGCCCTTTCTATGGTTATTGAAGATATGTAGCCTCTTTTGAGTTACTTTTTTATGGACAAATTGTCTTTAGCACAGACAACTGGGAAGCTATATTGCCGTGCTTCTACTTTCTCCCTTTAACTGACTGCATGTGGTATGTGGCAAAATTGTATAGTGTGAGTCAAACTATTGGTTTAGGATTGAGAGTAAAAAAGTCAAAAATGTAAATTGATTTTCCAGTACCATGGTTAAAATATAATTGGTGGGTAGGATCTTTTCTGGGGCCATGAATACCTCATTTCAGCAAATTGAGTTTCTTAGTTTTACTTAACATTTTGTATTACATGAAGTATGGTTCACTTCAAAACAGATCTCTTAACCCATTGGATCTGGATGTTTCTCTGTCATCATGTGGCCCAAAATATGACCATTGGGTTTACTTAACTAGTGCTTAGATAGGTTTGCGACGTGCAGGCCAGGCACACACGAATACTTGTGTGCGGTGACAAGACTTCATGCATCCCCATTACAATGTTATTCTCTCACTTTCGGCATAATCCTCTTAATCCCTTGTTTCTTATTGTTGTGGGGGGCTTAGGAGACAAAGCTGGGCCCAATGAAGGGGATCAATCCTAGCTTGGACATCAGCCCTCACCTCAACTGATTTTGCATGGTATTTTCTTCTTCTCCTTTCCTTTTCTTTCTCTTCATCCCCTTCTGTCCATTTCCTAAGGTGTGTGAGCTGTGTTGAGAGGATGAAAGGCTGGCTTTGTGTTAGTCATGAAAAGCTTCTGGAAACCATGGGCACAGTATTTTCTTGGTTAATTGCCTAGTCCTTACCCTTCAATGGGGACCCTGAGGGGTAGACCGTTTCCTCTCCTCATTTATTTCAGGCTCACCATGGCCAGTAATGAAGAATTTTTACCCTTATTAGGGGCATTAAGGATTGTCCCTTCCTCTCCTCTGACCATGGTTCCAACCACTGATATAAATATCCCCTCCAGGTCCCAGGTCATTACTCAACCTTCAGAATACACCCTTTCCTCTCCCAACATCCTCCAATCCATCTACTGCACAGTCTTGTTCCTTGTCTACCTCCACCCCCCTTATTACTACTCTTCGTCCTTATTGTCCTCCTCCCAGCAGTACTATCTCTCTCGATACCACCCTATCTTCCTCTTGCCCTTGTCCTTCTACTGCTTCCACCTCTGTAAACTTTTTGAGTACCATCTCTGCTCCAGGCAAGTGGGATCGATTCTTTGTGATTCTTCCTATAGCCTCGTACTCTGACAATACTCTTCTCTTCCAACATTGTCTCCAAAGACAGGTAAATAGGTAAAGTTTTCTTTTGCAGTCGTTCTGATCGTTCACACCTTGTCACAATTACATCTGAGTCCCAAGCTTGTTTACTATCTACCTTGACTGACCTCACTGGCACCACTGTCACCAATGTCACACATACTTCCCGTTTGAGCTGATCTCCCCTTTAACACCTTCCCCCTTTACAGATCTCTACTGTAATCCATTTGCTCCCCCTCTTTACCCTTTTCTCTACCATTCTATCCTACAGTGTTCTACCTTTGACATTTAACACATCTTATCCTGATTGTTAATGCATTTAAACCCCTTTTGCCACAATACTTTTCCATAGTGCTATATGGCCTTTGATGTCAAGCACGTTTATTTCTTCTAACCATCAAGAATTAACCATTTTTCTGCTTAAGCATTTTTAGCTTTTTTGCCATTTTCCAATGTCTATATTTATAATTTGATTTACTTTATCTAGATGGTAATAGCTTGTTTTCTTTTCACAGACTCAATATCATATATATATCTAGGTAGTCCATAACTCAGTGCAGTAATAATAACAATAATTAACATTTTGTTTCTTGTTTTGTTACTCATTAATCAATGGAAATAATGCAAAAGCCCCTTTCTAAATGCCAAGTGAGTCAAATCACCCTCCAAGAGCTTTGTGCACTCATGGTTAGTCATTCTAGCCTTCAGGCAAAATGCTCACAATGGCAAGTTAATGTCATGCCAGCCCACAGCCAAGTTTTCCCATCGCAGCATGTTCACGTCACCTGCCCCTCAAGCCAAATTCTTTCCATGACTTGATGGTCACGTCATCCAGATCGTAGGGGTTAAGATTTGGACTTCACTTTCATTATTCTGTATATACATATTTATTATTTATTATTTTATTTTCCCCCTAGTTCTT